GGCTAAAGTTGAGCTTTAGTCGAACTGAAGTTGGATTTTGGTCGAGCTAAAGTTGAGCTTTAGTCAAGCTAAAGTTGGGCTTTAGTCAAACTGAAGTTGAGCTTTAGTCGAGCTAAAGTTGGGCTTTAGTTAAGCTAAAGTTGGGCTTTAGTCGAACTGAAGTTGAGCTTTAGTCAAGCTTAAGTTAGGCTTTAGTCAAACAGAAGTTGAGCTTTAGTCGAACTAAAGTTGGATTTTGGTCGAGCTAAAAATGGGGTTTAGTCGAACTAAAGTTGGGCTTTGGTCAAGCTAAAGATGGATTTTGGTCAAGCTAAAGATGGGGTTTAGTTGAGCTAAAGTTGGGCTTTAGTCAAATTAAAGTTGGGCTTTGGTCGAGTTAAAAATGGGGTTTAGTCGAACTAAAGTTGGGCTTTGGTCAAGCTAAAGATGGATTTTGGTCAAGCTAAAGATGGTGTTTACTTGAGCTAAAGTTGGGCTTTAGTCAAATTAAAGTTGGGCTTTGGTCGAGCTAAAGTTGGATTTTGGTCAAGCTAAAGATGGGGTTTAGTTGAGCTAAAGTTGGGCTTTAGTCAAATTAAAGTTGGGCTTTGGTCGAGTTAAAAATGGGGTTTAGTCGAACTAAAGTTGGGCTTTGGTCGAGCTAAAGATGGGGTTTTGTTTATCTGAAGTTAAGTTAGAATGAACTTAAAAAGTCTGTATTGTGTTTTGTTTATATGTGTTCAAGTTAAAACTTTTGAAGCTCTGATAAAAGTTTGTACATTTCCCTGTTTTATTAAAAACTGTTTTAGTTGACTGAACATGAAATCTTTTTTTTTACCTTGGCAAAACGTGGTTCATGATGCTTTATATTTATATTTAATATACTGTTGGATAAATAAATTATCAAGACACAAGGAATGACGAACAAGCAGCAGATCTGGTTGAGCTCTCTTTTACTTGCAAGGAGTACAAAATACAGACAAGTACACACAGTTGTCAGTAGCATGGACTGAATTTCTGTACAACAGTCAGGTTTTAAAGAGTCCCCTTTAAAGTGTGTTGAGTGTCCAGTTACACAACCCCACAATCTCCTGTTGTCCTCAGGCGTTTCCCAAACAGTTCATCTATTTGGCCCAGCAGACTAATAKCAGATCATAATCTAATTCACTCTACAAGCTAAATAAACAAGTTACAAAGTTAAGCATGTTTTTACCACATGATTCCCATCCACGAGCCATGAATGCAGTTATAGTAAATAAACACAGATCATCAGCATTAATATATCTCACAGTTAGATGAACCATAATATTTTAARTCACAATTTAACCAACACACACAGTAAATAAAGCCGAATAAAGAGGAAACTAAATCTGTTCTTTGTGTTTTGGTCTGACTCGGAGTCCTACAGAAACATTTAATTACAGTAAATTTATAGATAAATCGGTCTACGGTCATTTTWTCTCCCTTCAGTCACCAGGTGTTTAAAAAGATTAAATTAATAAATTAAAATAATGAACCGCAGCTCTGATGTTTCAGTTCAACAGCTGCAGCAGACGTTAGTGCAGCCAACAAACAAGGAGGCAGCGCTGCATGGAGACTCACTGCCATCGATCATTTACCTGAGAGGCGACTGCTCTAACCGCTGCTCCACCGTGTCACCTTTTATGTCTTAACTCTTGTGTAAAAATGGAAGCTTTTTATTTTGYTGAAGCATTAAAATATTTTAAAACTTTCAACTTTCATTGAAACATCAGAGCAGCTCAGGTTCAGGAAACAAACTGAAGTCAGTTAAACAGCAACAATTGTTGAGGTCTGTCGGAGGCAGGTGCTTGATCCTGAGGAGGTCAGGCCTGTCGAGTCAAATGAGTCATTTGGGATTAAAAACGTGTTTGATTTGTTTTAATTTGAGCAGATTTCTCATGCAAATGTTTCAAGTCAAATGTTCTTGTTGGAAGTCAGAAGTCCCAGACTGAAGGAACCAGGATGGAGAAAGTTCTTCTCCACGTCATCGGGCTCTCAGGTCAGTGGGTTTTTAATTATTTATCCATTTATTCAGAATCTGCAACTTTTAAGCTAAATAATGAACTTTAACAACTACAGATTTACTGACCTGCTTTAATCTGCTTCAGATTGTGTTTTTGTTCAAATGTTGCAGAACGAGTTTGGTTTTAGTCTGGTTCTGATCCGTCTGCTGACGTCTGTCCCTGCAGCTCTGTGTTCCAGCTCCTCGGCTGTTAAACGTCAGTACCATTTCATTTATGAGCCGAAGAACTGGACCGAGGCTCAGAGCTACTGCAGAGACCAGTACACAGACCTGGTGACGGTCAACACCTCAGCTGTTGTGACCCTGCTGAACAGTAAAGCCGTCCTGAGCCAACTGGGCCTCAGCAAAGACGTAAATTCATTTTATTAACTTTGGTTTTTCTCTCAGATCGGCCTGAAAGTTGCTGAAGAAGCTGAAATATATTAAATGCTGATCTGTTAATGTTCAAATTACAAGAATGAAGTAATAAAAAATGTATAAAAAGCCTAAAAATAGCAACAAAAATGTAGCTCAAACAAGCAGAAAGAAGCTAAAAGTAGCAGAAACAAGTTAAAAAAACAACAAAACAATGAGCTGAGAAGTAGCAGAAAACCAGAACAATCTGCTGAAATGAGCAGACAGGCTGAAAGTACTCATTTGTTAAATTAGAAAAAGAGGTTGAATCTGCAGAAAAAATCTCTAAGTAGCAGAAAAAAGCAGCTGAATAYGGTAGTTGCTGAAAAGCAAGAAAGAAGCTGAAGGGAGCATAAATAAGTTAAACAGCAGAGCAACAAAAACAAATGTAAAAGTGTTACAGGGAGAAGAATTACAGCAGATTTTCATCGGCAAAAATAGCTGAACAATAACGAAGCTGAACAACCTGCAGAAGACTTCAACATAACACATAAAAATACACACTCAAAAACACACACAGTCACAAACAGCAGTTCAACTGTAGAAACACAGCAGGACACACAAGAAACAGCTAAACTTTCACAAACTTAAACACTGATTTTATACGAACGGATGAATCCCAAAGCAGCGTCAGTCTGTAAGAGTTGAAAGTCTGAAGTTGTGTTTAAACTTTAACTGGCCTCTCTTGGTGGAGGTTTGCTGAAGTGGCTCAAGTTTGAAGAGCATYAAGATGATTAAGAAGATTTCCTATAGTTTCAGTTTATTTCTGTGACGTAAAAAACTGCTTAAAAATCTGAATATCTCATAAAATTTAAAAGATATCAATACAAAAACATCTAAGCATGATTCTCCTGAATAAGTTGAACGTTTTGAAAGCTAAATTGCTGAAATTGCTTAAAAACTGCAGGACGAGTTAGATCAGGACTGTTCAACTAMACTGCTCTGGGGGCCACAGTTACTGCAGACCAGCAGCTCAGGGGCCAAACATCCAGCAGTTTGTCATTATGTAAATAAACCAAGTATCACAAAGATCTGTTACTTTTGAACTAGTTTATTTTGCTGCAATTAATCATGGATAAGATAAAGAACCGTATAAAGTAGTGATAATTAAACAATGCCAAAACCAAAAAGAACACATTTTAACACAATCCATATGTTTGGTATCTGCAGAAACATCAAAACCGTGGCTACAAGCTGGTAAAAACATTTCTATGCTCTCACTAATATTATTTTGACATCTCTGATTGCCAAATTTTTAAACCAATTTTATTTTCACTTTCATAGTTTTATCTTCAACTGCTTGTAATTTTAACTGTCGTGAGCATAACTAAAATAACTTATGGTGCGTTCACACCGAACTCGATTTCAGCATCAGGAGCAGCAGGTTTACATGCAAAGTCTATGGTGGACGCGCTTCAAGCAGCGTCGGGAAGTGCTGCGGCGCCTCAAGCGCGATTAGAGCAGTGAGATTTGAACGATTTGAACGATCTGAGCGTTCGACGTGTTTGATGCTCAAATCRCTGAAGTTAGAAAATCTGAACTTTTGCAGCTCGACGCACCGCRTCAACCAATCAGAGAGACTCCACTGTGTGACGTAGTGACATATTTCCCGATGGGACAGTTTACTGAATGATGTCCACTAACCTGAAACAGACGGAGAGGAGCTCTTTAGCTGAAATGAGTGCTGCAGTCGTGTCCTGATCCGCAGCAATGCGTGGCAGCGGCTCATCAGACTGGACTCGGGACAAAAATAGTCCTGAAAGCAGCTGTGAGCCTCTACTCTGAATTATCTGGTGAATTAATTATGAATTAATTATCTGATGAACGTGACATGCTCTTGCTCTCTGTAAATAAAGCAAAGCCACTTCCTCGTCCGACATTAAACAGGGGCGGGGAGGCTGTTGCCGTGCAGCGCTTCAACAGCTGACCTGCGTCTGACCTCAAAGTGCACAAGTGACCAACTTCAGTGTTGGCTGCGATTTTGAAGCTGAAATCGYGTTCGGTGTGAACGCAGCATTAGAGTAATTAAAGAAGAAAACCAAGAGTTTGGRCTKAAGAGATGAATGAACCAATTGGMCAAACTTTGGTAACTCGYGGGCTGAACGTGGCCTGGGGGCCGCCAGTTGAATAGCCTTGAGTTACATGCTGAAAAATAAACRGAATAAAAATGAATATCAAATAAATCCCAAATCTAAAGGTAAAAGTTACATTTTAAATGTTTTGGCCAAACGTTAAAGTTTACATTTTAAGTATTTCAGCCTACACCCCTGCAGGGGATTTTTATGGATATTTTTGCAAAAATTACGGATCTTTGATGCTCGTAAATGTCCAAAGGGCTTTACATGTCTGTTTATGCYTCATCACATAGCTGCAACATTTAAGATTTAACTTTTACATTTACTTTTCTAAATTTACATTTTGAATTTAATATTAACACATTTAGATTTAAAATAAGAAAACAGCAAAATGTAAGAACAGTCAGAGAAATAACAATAAAATCATAGAGAAATTTTTAACTAGGACTTCACTCTTAGTGAGGTAAAGAATAAAAAATGTATTAGAGATAGTTTCTACTTTTTATTTTACACTAGGCACCCCACTGAAGTTGAAATGTAAAAATTATTTTTATTTTATTTTTTTGCATTTTAAGCTGAAGCTTTAAGATTTCTTGGAAAGCCTCTTATTTATTTTCTCTCTTCCAAAGCTTCTCAGATCTATTTGCACAAAGTTTGCAATGTTAACGAGTCATATTGTGATCGGCCGGAGGTGTGGACACAAATTCACCTCCGATTGTATCAACACCTCCTGATAATGCAAATGTTCTGTCAGCGTCAGGAGGACCAGCTGCAGCTGGTTCTGTCAGACTCTGAAACCACAGTTTAGTGCTGATTTTAGGCCAAATTTATGGGCGTGGCTTCTAAAATCCTTCTACCAATAGACCCACTGTCCTCCTCTGACTCAGCTATGACTGACATTAAACATTTAAATGTGGTTGAAAGGATAAATTATTCATTCAACGTCAAAACAATGTTGAACACACTCACTGACTCAGCTTTTAAACATCAACCTGTTGTGCAAATCTTAATTTAACAAAGACACAAACAGATGATCACAAAATAAAAAGGCACTTCGTAGAATGGTCGTCTGAGTTTTACTGCAGCTGCAAGGCACAAAAGCTTAACACATTTCTGAAAACAGTCCTGCACTAAGCTAGTTATTCAAAGAATCAAAGTTTGAAACTTCCTTTTATACCAGAAATCTGTATGTTTACATAAACTGACAAAAACAGAACGTTCTGACAAACTGCCCCCACAGGGGCGACTATTTACCAGTGGTGGAGAGTAATGGAGTAGATTTACTTGAGTAYTCATCTTTTGTGTATCTGTACTTTACTTGAGTAATTATTTTTTGGGGTACTTATGACTTTACATTTCTAGGAAGCTTTAATAGTTACTTTTGTTTGAGCACAGCTTTGTGATCAGCTGTTGTTGTTTTTCTTTCTTCAGCTGCAACTGGCCACAGGCTGTGTTCCTCACAGGGGGAACCAATCACAGCTGTAGCTCACACCTGAAATAGATTTGGAATTACATCATCTTCGTTAACGGTGGTGAGCTGAGCCTGAGCTCCACCTTCATTTCAAACCAAACCAGCAATGAGAGACAGTTGAAGAGAGTAGAGAAACCAGAGCAGCCATGATCATATCTCAGCTSCATGTTTGAGATTTTAGGACTGAAAAATAGTCCCCATCAGTTTCACCTGGATAAACTACATTTCTACATTTAAAAACTCACCGCTCACTTTTTATTTAGTATTACTTTTAAATTATTTTTTGTTTGAATATATTCTGGTGATAAAAGGAGCAGACATAAGATTTATTCTTCTACTGCTACCTTTCATTTTATTTTGATCTTTGATTTAGGTATTTTCTTTGTTTGCTATTGTATATAGTTATTTTGTTTTATAATGAAATGAAAAAAAATCAACCAACCAACCAACCAATCTTATATTAATCAGAATGTATGCAATCTTAAAATAGTTTACAGATTATAATTTAGTACACCTTTTATAATTAAGTATGAAAATAATTATTTCCAGTATTTATTCGTAAATCTAGCRCATTAACCTGTAATCCAAAAGAAGATCTCTTAGTGCATGAGCAAGGAACTTCAGAACAGATTAGTCCATCTGCACATATCTCTACGGGAACATCAGGCTGAATTTAAGTACATCAGTTGGAAAAACTGTAAACTTGGTTCCAATACAAGCCAAAGAATGTACAATTATTTTGTTCATGGTGTTTTTCACCGTGTTTCAAGATGCTGATCTGCAAACTGTCAAGACTTGTGCTTTTGTTTTAGTATTTATTCAGTATTGTGTTCTGTTTTGGTATTTTTGATTAGTCTGTTGAGTTTCAGCTTTGTTCCTGCTTCTGTTTCTGCCACACCCACCTGCAGCTGATCCTGCACAGGTGTCAGTGGTTTCACATGATTAGTTTGACTTTATATCCCAGGTGTGTGCTGTGGTTCAGGGATCAGCATTATTTTGTCTTCTGTCAGCAGGAGCCCTGCTCTGCAAGAGGTTTTGGTTTTTGATGTTTGCTGCCCCAACAACACTTTGTTTTGTTATTAAATCTTTAGCTTTAGACAACTCCTTGCCTCTGTCTGCACCCTGGGTCTGACCTTAAAACACAGTCCACCAAACGTGACACAAACATAATGTACCAATTTCATGATGTTTGCTGTGCAGCGGTGTTGTTCAGCACATCAATACTTAAGGTAAAACCGATAAAAGTTATACATTTCTGTGTCAGCTATCGTTAAAAAGCAGGACTTAAAAATATTTTTTCAAATTTCCATGAGGATTACATTTTTACAGAATACAGAATCATTTGTCCTTCACACATCAAGATGCAGCGCAGAATGAAATTTGAAGTTTAGAACATCCGTCCGGAGAAACACACACATACAGTGGGGAAAATAAGTATTTAGTCAGTCACCAATTGTGCAAGTTCTCCCACTTAAAAAGATGAGAGAGGCCTGTAATTGACATCATAGGTGGACCTCAACTATGAG